CTCCCCAGCTACCAGTGTGTGTGGTGATCACTGGCTGAGATGGCTCCTGAGGTCCTCAGACCTCTAGGCACTGCCACGTTTTAGACAGGGGGCTATGGCGCCCCAGGTCCTTGTCCTTCCAATACTTGCAGGGGGAGGGCTTTAATGTACAAGGTAAACAGCATCCCACTGGACCAGAGGGAAGCAGAGATCATCCACTCTACCCTAGGAGGCAGTACTGGACAAAGCCCCCACCCACCTGCCCCAGTCCTTCCTGTCCCCTAAGCAGCAGCTCAGGACAGCCAGCCTGTGCTAAGGTGGCACTATCAGAGGCCAGCAGACAACAGCAGATTTGATGAGGGCCCCCTTCCCAGCCATATTTCCTTCTGAACCCTAGGCCTGACACCCCTCCCTCTTGATTGCTGTTTAGTATGGGTGTCCAAGCACCTTGCAAACGGAGGGCCTCTTGACTATCTTCACTGTTCTAAGGGCAACTCCTCCAAGGGGTGACCACAGACCACATCTGCTCACTGTTCCTTGTTACGGGCAAGTTCTTGGAGGGCAGGTGAGGGGGACAGTTGAGGACACGGGATTTCCCATCCACTATGGCCACACAACCATTTTATCTGTGCCTCACTGTTATACACTATAAAATGGGGATAAGTAATGGTCCTACCTCACAAGACTAGTTAGGACTATATGAATAAGAGTGTAACAACCCAATACATGGTAAGTGCTGATTAACAACCAGAATGTTCTGTTAGCCACTTATCCTGTGGATGCTCCCTGAGCCATGGCCTGCTCATCCTTCCACCTGGGGGAGACCACAGGGTAGGGAATAGGGTTTCTACCAACTGAGGGGAAGCTCCAAGCAGGCAAGATGTTTGGTGAGGTTTGCCTCATGTTTATAGTGAGGCATTCCTCTCTGCTCTGTGCTTAAGGCCATTCATTGCACACTGGCTTATGAAGATGGTACCTCTTTAAAAGCAGGGCAGTGCCTACTGGGCGGGGCCAGTCTGTGATTAATGAAACAGTACAAAGCAGCACATCACCTAAGAGGCTGTACAAATGGTGAACAGCATCAGAATACTTGTGGCTATATCGGGGCTAGCAGCCAGTGCAGACCATATCCAGTCTAGAGCCCAGATGGCCTGCACGAACAGCCTAGAAAGCAAAAGGTGTCAACCTGGCAAAAGAAACAAGTCTCAGTGTCTGAACACACTGTGGGCTGGTGCCCCCTTGAGGGCAGTTCACAAGCTGAATTAAAGTGAGGCCAGTGCATTATTGACAAAGGGCCCCCTTTTGACAAGTTGGGGGGTAAGAACCCACTCTCCTGGGCCCAGTATGCGCCAGCTGCTGTTCCGGATTCCATCCCTGGTCTCCCTTTTCGGTGCTTCTCAAGGACCAGAGGGATGAGGATTAAAAAATCCATCTCTTGGTCAATGACATGAGACAAAGTATATGTGAACTGCTGTATGAAAAGTGAATTTACT